ATATACAGAGAGAGAGAGAGAGAATCAATAGATACACACGTTAACCACATATGGTATATGGTATTTGGATTTAACAACTTCTATGACATGCACTGAAACAATGACAAGTATCATCTTTATATAATATACATACATGTATGCATGAATGCATGCATAAATATACATATACATACACATATGTATGTATATATGTATGTATAGGTGGAGGGGAATTGGGATCTGCTCCTCACACAGGGCGCCTCACACCGACCTCACATGCACATCTCACCATGCATTGGGAACACCTCCCGTGAATAATAACGTATAAGTACGGGAGATGTTCCCAATGCATAGTGGGATGTGCCTGTGAGGTCAGTGTGAGGCGCTCTGTGTGAGGAGAAGATCCGGTCTTGGTGGAGGGACCTTGGGAGATGTAGTATAACATTTGGAACCTCCCATCTAGAATGAATATCTCATTCGCATGGGTGAGGAGATCAACAAACACTTCAACCAATAGCTTAGCAGGATTTATGGTGGATAGCACAGAATCATTTTAGGGGAAGGCATGGGATCGTTTTATCCATTGGGCCATTTTTGTACCTTGTGCTCTGTACTTTTCATTCTTCAATAAAGAACATCGTTACTAACTTTTTTAATCCCAAACATTTTTACTAATTAAAAGAGTTGACATCTAACCAATTCCTCCCATTTTCAAACCAGCATTTTATCCAGCTCGTTTCCTGGAATTTTTTTATCAATAACAGAATCATTTCATTAATGAAAGATGAAGAAAAAGTACAATGGTAGGGGGAGATAAACTCTCATAACTCCCCCAAGGAAAAAGAAAGATTACAAATTGGCCTAGAACAACTGATTTCTTCCCACGCCTTGTTTGGCTAGTGCATCTGCAAAGGAATTAGCACACCTCTTTACCCATTGTAGTCTCACTGTCATATCCCGAGTCAGCCACTTAAATACTCTTTTTTTTTTCATTCAGGTAGCTCCACATGCTACACTCCTTTTGTAGCCAATCTATAACTAACCTCGAGTCTCCCTCAATAATTAACCTCCTTAAGTTAAGTTCCTTAGCCTTTTTGGCACCTTCCAAGACTGACAAGACTTCAGCTCGAAGTGAGTCCCCTACCCAACTGGACCTGAAAACATAGCAATAATCATACCCACCTCGTTCCTAAATACCCCTCCAATGCCTGAAGGGCCAGGGTTTCCTTCACTGCTACCATTGAAGTTCAGCTTTATAAAGCCAAGAGCTGGAGGAGTCCACAGTGGTTGAGGGACAGTCTTCTCAGGAGCTGAACAGGCCACTTCCTTCCAATTGTTCAACAGAGCTGATGTGGATATGTCTTCAAATAACTCCAAAGACTTCACCCATTGCATTACCCTTGTTGTAGTTACTTCAATTATTGCCTCTTTGTACCTTTCCTAATCAACAAATGTTCTTTGATTTCTTTCATCCCAAACTGTCCAACATACTCCAGCCCTTGTACTTTTCCATAAAGCCTTCTCCCCCTTCTTTGTACAGCAACCAGTAGCAGGACCAAAAAGGCATTGAACATCTGGTGGAGGAATCCATCTGCAACTAAACAAAGAGAGAAACCATTCTCAAATAGAAGAAACAAACGGATAGGACATTAATACGTGAAAGAAGGACTCACCATCAGCTTTACAAAGAACACACCAGTTAGGAGATAAGCACCAAAAAGGCTTCTTTCTTTGAAGGAAATCACCAGTGTTAATCCTTCCCAAGAAGGCTTTCCAACAAAAAGCCCCAACCCTAGGTGGAATCGGTTTACCCCGCACTTCTTTAACTAGAAAGGTTTGCCCAACACTATCAATAGGCACAGTTAAAGCTTTAAAGAAGGAAGCACATGAAAAAATACAGGAAGAAGAGGGGATCCAAATGTGTGAATCCGACTTTGAAGGGTCCAAGCAGACTCCTTAAAAGTAGGGGAGGATTTGAGCCGAGCTGAACCAAATATCTGCCTATTCGAGCTCGGCTCGGTCATAAATTATCAGGCTTGAGCTTGAGCTCGAGCTCGGTTCGAACTAGCGGCTTGAGCTCGAGCTCGACTGCCTCTGATTGCAGGTCTCCCTAGCAATCGAGGTCTCCCTATCAATTGAGGTGTTGAACCGAGGTCTCCCTTAGTTGCCGAGGTCTCCCTTAGTTGCCAAGGTGCCAAACCGACGTCTCCCTCAATAGCCGAGGTCTCCTTCAGTAGCCAAGCCGAGGTGACACCCTATGTACATATACTCAACTAGGCTCGTGAGCCTCACGAGCCGAGCTGTATTAAGCTCGAGCTCAGCTCGATTAGAAAACGAGCCCATATGTTAGGCTTGAATTCATCTCGAAGCTCGGTTTAGACCGAGCTGAGCCAAGCTCAAACAACTCATGAACAGCTCGACTCGTGGCCACCCCTACTTGTAAGATATGAAGAAGAGACAAAAGGCTATTTGGATTTGAATCCCCGATTCCCCTTCTAAAACCCAAATCCCAATCAAGCACAAGACCCTCAGCATGAGAAGAAAGGAAGGTGGAAACCGGTTTATTCTTGTAATCAGACAATGCAAAGAGAGAGGGAAAACAATCTTTCAAGGGTAAGTCTCCCACTCGCAAGTGTTCCCAGAAATTAACCAAGTTCCCAGAGCAAAGATTATACATGTTAAAAGGTAGGATGGCATGTATCAACTTCCAAGGAGAAGCACTTGTAGCTCAAGCCAACACTCCCGCATCCCAACCTTCAACCGTCAACCCATGAATACTCAAAACCACCTTGACCCATAATCTATCCTTCTCTATCGATAGCCTCCACAACCACTTCCCTAATAGAGCCGCATTTCTTTTCTGAAAATTGCCAATTCCCCTTTAGTTACAGTTCCCAATTGACCCCGTGGTCCTTTCTTTCCTCCCCTAGTTCCCATAAAAAATCTCTAACTATTTTCTCTAAGCTTTTGGAAACCCCCACTGGCATTTTGAATACATAGAAAATAAACGAGTAAACTGACCAAGGTCAACTTGATTAAGGTTATCCTCCCTCCCAAAGAAAGGTAGTTCCTCTTCCAAGAAGCTAATCTCTTTGTGACTCTCTCCATCATTGGGTTCCAAAAATTGCCATTTCTTGGATTGTCTCCTAGAGGAAGGCCCAAGTAATTCATGGGTCAGTTTGACACTTCACAACCCAATATGGCTGCACAATCTGACATCTCCCTAGCATCCATATTCACTCCTACTACACAAACTAAGATCACCTCCTTCGCAAAATAGAACCGTGTCATCAGCAAATTGCAAATGTGTGATAGGCACTTTATCCCTTCCCACCCTCTCACCAAGTCCCTAGAATCTACTTTTTGGATTAATCTCCCTAACACATCAGCTACCAAGGTAAAAAGAAATGGATAGAGGGTCACCTTGCCTGATCCCTCTAATGGCTGGAAAGTGATCAACTACAGTCTTGTTCACCAGAATTGAGTAGTGGCAAGTCCTCAAGCAGCCTCGAATCCATTTACACCATTTCTCCCCAAAACCAAAGTTTTTCATGACTTCCACCAAAAAGGACCTCATTTCCTGGAAATTTTTGTGAGCCAAATCGCAATCCAAAATGATTCTTCGCATGCTCCTCTTTCTTCAAATCTCTTGGTTGCACCTCCAACTCTTCAAATTTTCCAGCCAAAGCAATATGGTCAGACTCTATCCCATTAAAACTGGGAGTTTTTTGTTTTTGTTGAAAAGCAGTACAAAAAGTAATGCATGTAAAATGCTCTAATACAAGCAGAAAACTTGGGTTCTGATTACTGAATTCTATTACAGCAGACAGCCAGGAAGCTAACCTAGCAACAGTACAATAAATCAGCTCATCAGGACTCAATCTGTTATTCCTTTTTGTCCAGAACTCCAGATGGAGCCAATCACAGCAGCTGGAATAGTTTTCTAGATGCATTTTCCTTTCTTAGATCCTTCACCAAGCTTGGCATTACCCAACAAATCCCAACCGCTTTCAGGAAGTGAGACCATTATACCCAAGCAGTCAGGCAATGAATGCACATTCCTCAATCTGCCCGCACACCCCCCAACTCAGATCTTCAATGGGAACACCTCTCCTTGCTAAGTTGCCTCTAGTCAGACAAGACATTTGCCAAGAGCTGCTGCCCAAACTAAGGAGTTGATTTTTGAAGGAGAAGGAACCAATACTTGTTTTACAGGAAACTCATACCCCCTCAAATCACTTAGACTATCAGCACTCCATTTCCAAGTCCACTGATCGTGTAGAAAAGGATCAAAAGAGAAGGCACTTAAGCAATTGAGAAGATTAAACACTTCCTCCAATTCCCAGTCCTGAAAAGCTCTTCAGGACCTGGGACTCCTAACCACCTCTCCCCTGACCAGATCAAAACACTCAGCAACTGTGGCCTCTTTGTTATCTACCAAAGAGAACATATCACTCAGGAGGAAGCAGAACATATTCCATACCAATTCATCATTGAGGAAGCAGAACATATCACTCGGGAGTGGGGCTTTCCTTCCAAGGAAGCTAATAATTCATTCCATATGGTTGTTTCGTTAGAAACTTGAATCTTTCTGGTATAAGAGGGACTATGGATGGTTCTTGCCTCCTTGGAGCCTTAAAGCACAAAATAAGGGAAACAAGATCATTGTGTCTAAATATACAAGCAGAAATTATTCATCAAAAATATACAAGCAGAAATTGACTGGGTTTAGAGCTGAGCTAACTCACTGGATGACTCCCTTGCCCCAACAAGCGTAAATAGACAGAAATTAAGGTGGAGAGAATAACCCTTGGCGCAAAGCTGTAATTGGGCATGCTAATGTATATTTGATTATGTTATTCTATCTTCTGTACTTGTAATTCTTAAACTGCTTCTATCTTTGATGTACATCTTGTACACTGTTTTAATATCAATGAAATCTTTCCTGTTGCTAATTAATAAAAAAAACATCATAGGAAAACACAAAGAATTTCAAAACAATAGATGTAATTAGAACATACCGAAAAAGATGATGGAGCATCATGTATCTGGAATCCCAGTCCCTTCACATCAAGCTGTCCATGAAGATTAGGAAAAGCCTCTCCTCTTGACATGCATATGTGAACCTGTAAAAGGTGAAGCAGATGAAGTTAAAAAAAATGTTGGACACCAGTCACATAGACAATCTTTTATTGGAGTTTTGTTACTCAATTGAATATTAGACATGGGGCCATTACCCAATGATGGTCCCAGGTCCCAGCTGTGTTAGGAGGGTAGACTGGATACAGGCCTAACAGTTGTTTTTTTTTTTTTTCATAGTGGTCATTGTCTGACTCAGAGCCCATGTTCTCATGATTGTCGGCCCAAGATTTTACCATTGCACCATGCAATGACCCCCTATATTATGTAGCCATTTTTTTTTGGAAAAAGGTGAAGTAATTTTATTCAATGAGAAAGCCAAATACAACAAGACTCAGGCCAACTAGGCCTTCCTGAGCCCAAAACATATTACAAGAACATCCATGATTTAGTACAAAGAAGGAAAGAAACATTCTGACTTTTAAACTCCTCATTCGCCGACACCCAGGAGCAAATCTTCCCCACCACTTTCTGCACAATCTCATCTGGACTTTTAGATTGATTACAGAAAATTCTATTGTT